GCCTTTTAAAAATAAAAATCAGAAACCTGATCAACTGTCTTTGTGCCATATTGGGAAAAGCATAACGGTAAGGGCCTGCAGAGAAAGGCAGATTTTGGGCAAATCCAAATCCTGAATTAGGGATACCGGGTGTTGACTGCAGAAAATCACTTTAAAATAAGACAGGGTAGGCAAAAGCTGAAATAAAAAGATCTCTTTCAGCTGCATGAAGTATAACCTTCAGCGTCTGACCTAAAACTAAATCAGTACACGTTTTAAAAAAGGCTAATTCTAGTTGAGAGAGAGTTATAAAAAATACTGAGCAAAATAAGAAATTATTTCTCCCTTTCAGAAACTCAGCATGAGATAGAGAACCTACATTTTCAATCCAGTTTTTTTTTGTAGAAAATGCTATTGTAATTTATTATTTATATTCCTTGTATCTTAAAAAAAAGTAGGTTCCACTGTCATTTTGCCTGGGTACACAAAAAAGGAAGATGAGAAAACCTACTTTACAATGACCTTTATCTTAATACACTATTACCAGAACACTGGAAAATTTAGTTTTCAAAGAGTAGAGAGAAATCCATTTCCAAAGCTTGCATCAGTACATGTTAAAAAAAAAAACAACACAACTTTTATAAATAATATTATTCTTTCCATCAGGTGACACGTGGATCAGTTTACATTTAAATTCAATGATCAGAAAAGACTGAGGTAGGAACATATGTTTTGCAACTGTATGGAGTGAGATCACACAACGAAAACACCGGGTGGACATTATGAAACTGGGATGGAGACAAATCCGAGATGAGTTGTGATTAGGAAGGGGGGTAGAGAGGAGGAGTAGAAAAAGTAGGAGGAGGAGGGAAGTAGGTGCTTCCCGAACAATGTGTGTCATCTGTAGGGAGCCAAACAGCATGCTTTACCGGAAGTTTTGAGTGCTGCTTTAATGAAAATGTAGAGATCAACACATAAATGTAAAGAACCTAAGGTATTTTATAGGAATTCTTAATTTCTTTATTCTATGTATTCAACTATCACTTGACTCATTTCATTCTCCAAAATATATTAAATGCCTGTTATGTGGTTCACATGGTGCTGGGGCTGGGAAAAAAGGAGATAAAAGAAAACACTGTCCCTAGACTTACAGGGTTCACTGTCCAGTGGGAGAGACAGATGGTTTCACATTGTAGTACTGCCATGTGACAGAGGAGGTAGAGATGGTGAAGAGCTTCGATTCTGAAGCCAGGATGCCTGGGTTTGAATGCTGGTCCGTCTACTTTAGAGCTATACAATATTGAGGAAGCTTCTTACACTTTGGTGCTTCAGTGTCCTTATCTGTAAAGCAGTGCTAATAAAAGTAATTTTCAGTGTTATTATGAAATGAAATGTGCTATAATACACAGAAAGGTCTTGATGGTGTCTGGCTATGATTACTGTTCTTGTTGTAATGGTGTGCAACACATGCTGTGGGAATATGCAAGAGAGGAAGGAGCGAGACGCAGCCCAGATACAGCAGAATAACAGTCAGAGGGCTTTCCAGCTGAGCTGAGATTTGAATGGAGTTCTGAAGTCTAGTAGGACTTAAACATAGGTGTGTAAAAGTGGGGAAAATGGTGAGAAAGTGTGGGACAGCTTGTGCAAGTGCATGGGAAGAGAAGTCACTGAGAGTTTGAGATACCTGGAGAGGTTGAAGAATTCTAGGGAATTTAGATTTTTATCCTAAAGACTTTCCTCAGTGTTTTTGTCCTTATGCCTGCTGGTCATCTCATTCTTTGTTTTCAGTAATAGCCCCACCTCCCCAGCCATTAATTTTGATTCACCTCTATTCAGTTACATACTTCGCTACAAGGTAACCTTATTTAAAAACATATTTAACTAGGTCATCTCTGTTTAACAACCTAAATTTTATTCCTTATTATTCTGTAGGCTGAATTTAACTAACATGGCCAGTATCCAAATTCTTCTGCTTTCCAAAAACACATACACAAATTTACCTCTCTTATTGTAATAGCCTTGTAAGATAAAGCTTCCTGTTATTCCCATCTCCTTCCTCTCTTTGCAGATTTTATTCATCCCAGTCTGATTTTACTCAAGCAGTTTCCTCTTTGGAATTTAAATCTCCCTAGATAAATTTTAGTTTTTTAAGAACAGGCTCATCTTTGACCATCCTGAAGAAAAAGTTTGACCAAACCTCACATCATGTTGATAAATTTCTGGCGCCACAGTCCCTTGGTTTTGATCTTCACAATCACATAGCTTAGGCTGACTTTTCCCCACTTCTCTCTCCATCTTGTTCATGCCTTCCTTATGAGTGGAGAGTTTGCCTTCTAGATATCTTCCCAATATACAGAATACATCTACAGTATCTTGTATACTGAAGAGCTCAACAAATGCTTGTTGGATGAATATGTAAGATATAAACATAGCTCGTAATACAACCTCCTTAATAACATGCCAAGATTATTATGTGAAAGTTGCATTCATCTTCAAAGATCAGCTTACAGAAGACAACTAAGTTGGAAGACAATCAAGATGGCTGATATTTACTTAGGGGTACACAGTTCACATAGATAAGTATAACATTAAAAAAAATTGGAATTCTTTCAATTCCTTTTAAAGTGGAGCTTTAGAAGAATTTTAAAGTTGAACTTCTATTATAAAATCTAAGTACAGACATAGAGGAATTTAGAACTTAGAGTAAATCCCTGGACATTAGGGTTTAGAAGGAGTAGAACCACCATTCATTCAAAGTCTGTTGTGTACCAGTCCCCACAAGACTGATTACTTCTATTGGAAGGAGATGTTGGAAAGTTTTTTTGAGATAACTTACATGAATTTATTATCATGATGGCCATTTTATAGCCATTGCTAATGTGGCTCAAAAACTTTAAGCTCTCCTTCCAAAATCTTACATCCAAGTGATGAATTTGGGATATGAATCCAGGTCTGTCTGATTCTAGAGCAAAAGTGCTTTGAGAGGTGGTGTCGACTTCATGGTTAGAATGGCAATATTTAGATATAGGTTAAATAACCTGACTATTTTGGACAAGTAACAAACTTTGTTCACCTCAGTTCCTCATTTCTTATTAATTTACCCTAGATGATCTCTAAAGCTCTTATAACTAAATACTTGTGAAGAAGTGGCATCTGTTTTTAAAGTCATACTGATTTAAAATCAATGATGTTGAAAGTCAGGGAAAAGTTGTGCATATCAGTGAACTAAATGTTAACTATAGCTGGGATGTATAACTAGAGTGAAGGGGTTATCACTTGATACAGCTTTGTTTGGCATGATAAAATAATTATCTTTGTAATAAAATAAAAATCTAATAAGTACAGGGAAAACTACAGCATTTTCAGTGGTGAACTAAGTTAGAAAAATCAGTCAATATCTTTTCTTTTATATAAATTGTTAATCGAGATTGAATACTCTCAAATTTTACCTGATGTACTTTTCACTTGGGCTAGGCTATCTTATAATGCCTTTCTGCATTCTACTCTAGTTAAATATGCATGTTAGAGGAGAGTGACATGATTCTAGATTCAATCATGCGTTGAGTGCTTGTCTTTACTTTCATTACCCTAAAAGTAAAAACATCAGTAATAGTAATTTTACTAGACTCTCAACACTCTAACCTCAATATTGTGCAACAAAGTATAATACATGAAAAAGATAAGTCTAGAGCAACACTTATGTATAAGAAAGTTGAATGTGATAATTATCACTAAAATTTCTTCCTTGTCCTCAAGAATCTAGTTAAAATTATTAAGTATCTTGAGTAAATTAGAACTGGCTTGAACCCAGAACTTGTAATGGACAGAATGCAATGAAATGCCACAGAAGGACTCTGATCATGATCAGTTAAAACCTTTTCCCCCCATATTGACTTCTACCATTTGACTCTTGCAAAGAAGTTAGTTAGGTCAGTGCTAATACTGAACATTCTTCTCTCAAACATAGTCACACTGAAAACTAGCTATATCTTCTTTTGCCTACAAGGTTCTGAGCATCTTGTCACATAACTTCATTAAGTGAAATGAAAATCTTCTTCATCAAGCCATCAGCATGACAGAAACGCCAAGGCATAAACTGCCATTACATTTGAGGACATTTTGATATATTTATACGCTCAGAGTTCAGATCTGGCTTGTAGGAAACCCTAATTAAAACTAGCCATTAGAGAAAGGAGACTCCAAGAAAAGATAAAAATGAATCCAAGTTACTTGAAAATATAACACAAGCATAAAAGTAATAAATATCATGGAGGCTGAGAGACTGAAAAATTAGGTTTCTTTTTACTACCCTTCACAATGGACTATGATAAAAATTCAGTTCTTTCTGGGTTCCTATAAATAAAAAATTCTAACAAGCAGAGAACAGAATGAGGACCATGCTCTACAACAAGTAAGTCTAATGCATATTATCAGTATAAAGACCATAGGTAAAAGTGTGTCTCTTTACCACTTGCATTTTCATACACCAAACGGATAATTCTAGACTATAGTTAAATGACTCCAAATACAGGCTAATAAGCCACACACACACACACCCCCCCCACCACAAATTAACATACTATGACATATAGTACCTTAAAACTTTAAGTTTCCCTTCAGAAACATATTTTAATAATAAAGAATA